ATAGCTCAGTGGTAGAGCATTTGACTGCAGCTCAAACGGTCCCCTGTTCAAATCTTAGTGCCCCGTTTAGACTTGACAGCTTTGGAGTAACCAAAGTCTTTATTTTGAAGTGAAGATGTTGTATGATATTGTAAAACTGAAGGATCTAATTTCCTGTGTGCAGTTTTGAGTTGCTGTTTCTGTGCGGGTATAGCTCAGTGTTGGAGCATTTGACTGCAGATCAAGATGTCCCGAGTTCAAATATGGGTGTTCCCTTTGGACTTGGCAGCTTTGGAGTAACCAAAGCCTTTACTTTACAGGGAAGATTTTGTTATGTGATACTGTAAAAATGAAGGATCTAATTTCGTCTGTGCAGTTTTGAGCTACCGTTTCTCTGGGGGTATAGCTCAGTGGTAGAGCATTTAACTGTAGATCAAGAGGTCCCCAATTCAAATCTGGCTGCTCTGTTTGGCCTTGGCAGCTTTGGAGTAACCAAAGCCTTTATTTTGAAGTGAAGATGTTGCTCTTTGATATTGTCAAAATGAAGGCTCTAATTTCCTGTGTGCAGGTTTGAGCTGCTGATTTTATGTGGCTATAGCTCAGTGGTAGAGCATTTGATTACAGATCAAGAGATCCCCAGTTCAAATCTGGGTGCCCCCTTTGGACTTCGCAGCTTTTGGTTAACTAAAGCCTTTATTTTAAAATGAAGATGTTGTTGTTGTTCAATATTGTCAAAATGAATAATCTAATTTCATGTGTGTGGTTTTGAGCTGCTGATTCTTTGGGGGTATAGCTCATTGGTAGAGCATTTGATTGTAGATCAAGAGGTCCCCAGTTCAAATCTGGGTGTTCCCTTTGGTCTTGGCAGCTTTGGAATAACCAAAGCCTTTATTTTAAAGTGAAGATGTTGTTGTATGATATTGTACAAATTTTGAATCTCATTTCCTGTGTGCAGTTTTGAGCTGCTGATTCCGTGGGTGTATAGCTCATTGGGAGAGCATTTGCCTGCAGATCAAGAGGTCCTCAGTTAAAATCTGGGTGCCCCCTTTAGACTTGGCAGCTTTGGAGTAAGCAAAGCCTTTGTTTTGAAGTGAAGATGTTGTTGTATGATATTGCAAAAATGAAGGATCTCATTTCCTGTGTGCAGTTTTGAGCTACTGTTTCTGTGGGGGTATAACTCAGTGTTAGAGCAATTAACTGCAGATTGAGAGATCCCCTGTTCAAATCTTGGTGCCCCCTTTAGACTCGACAGCTTTGGAGTAACCACAGTCTTTATTTTGAAGTGAAGATGTTGCTGTTTGACATTGTCAAAATGAAGGATATAATTTCCTGTGTGCAGTTTTGAGCTTCTGGATTTGTGGGTGAATAGCTCAGTGGTAGAGCATTTGACTGCAGCTCAAGAGGTACCCTGTTCAAATCTTAGTGCACCCTTTAGGCTTGACAGCTTTGGAGTAACCACAGCCTTTCTTTTGAAGTAAAGATGTTGCTGTTTGATATTGTCAAAAAGAAGGATCTAATTTCCTATGTGAGGTTTTGAGCTTCTGGTCTTGTGGGTGTATAGCTCAGTGGTAGAGCATTTGACTACAGACCGAGAGGTCCCCAGTTGAAATCTGGGTGGCCCCTTTGGAACTGGCAGCTTTAGTTTACCAAAGCCTTCATTTTTAAAGTGAAGATGTTGTTGTATGATATTGTAAAAATGAAGGATTTAATTTCCTGTGTCCGATTTTGAGCTGCTGATCACGTGGGGGTATAGCTCAGTGGTAGAGCATTTGACTGCACATCAAGAGGTCGTCAGTTTAAATCTGGGTGCTTCCTTTGGAACTGGCAGCATTAGGTTTACCAAAGTTTTTATTTTAAAGTGAAGATGTTGTTGTATGATATTGTCAAAATGAATGATCTAATTTGCTGTGTGCAGTTTTGAGCTACTGTTTCTGTGGGGGTATAGCTCAGTGTTAGAGCATTTAACTGCAGACCGAGAGGTCCCCAGTTCAAATCTGGGTGCCTCCTTTAGACTTGGCAGCTTTGGAGTAAGCAAAGCCTTTGTTTTGAAGTGAAGATGTTGTTGTATGATATTGCAAAAATGAAGGATCTCATTTCCTGTGTGCAGTTTTGAGCTACTGTTTCTGTGGGGGTATAACTCAGTGTTAGAGCAATTAACTGCAAATTGAGAGATCCCCTGTTCAAATCTTGGTGCCCCCTCTAGACTCGACAGCTTTGGAGTAACCACAGTCTTTATTTTGAAGTGAAGATGTTGCTGTTTGACATTGTCAAAATGAAGAATATAATTTCCTGTGTGCAGTTTTGAGCTTCTGGATTTGTGGGTGAATAGCTCAGTGGTAGAGCATTTGACTGCAGATCAAGAGGTCGTCAGTTTAAATCTGGGTGCTTCCTTTGGAACTGGCAGCATTAGGTTTACCAAAGTTTTTATTTTAAAGTGAAGATGTTGTTGTATGATATTGTCAAAATGAATGATCTAATTTGCTGTGTGCAGTTTTGAGCTACTGTTTCTGTGGGGGTATAGCTCAGTGTTAGAGCATTTAACTGCAGACCGAGAGGTCCCCAGTTCAAATCTGGGTGGCCCCTTTGGAACTGGCAGGTTTAGTTTACCAAAGCCTTCATTTTTAAAGTGAAGATGTTGTTGTATGATATTGTAAAAATGAAGGATCTAATTTCCTGTGTCCGATTTTGAGCTGCTGATCATGTGGGGGTATAGCTCAGTGGTAGAGCATTTGACTGCACATCAAGAGGTCGTCAGTTTAAATCTGGGTGCTCCCTTTGGAACTGGCAGCGTTAGGTTAACCAAAGTTTTTATTTTAAAGTGAAGATGTTGTTGTATGATATTGTCAAAATGAATGATCTAATTTCCTGTGTGCAGTTTTGAGCTACTGTTTCTGTGGGGGTATAGCTCAGTGTTAGAGCATTTAACTGCAGACCGAGAGGTCCCCAGTTCAAATCTGGGTGCTCCCTTTGGACTTGGCAGCTTTGGAGTAACCAAAGGTTTTATTTTGAAGTAAAGATGTTGCAGTTTAATATTGTCAAAATGAAGGATCTAATTTCCTGAGTGAGGTTTTGAGCCACCGCTTTTGTGCAGGTATAGTTCAGTGGTAGAGCATTTGACTGCAGATCAAGAGGTCCCCAGTTCAAGTCTGGATGCCCCCTTTGGACTTGGCAGCTTTAGGTTAACTAAAGCCTTTATTTTAAAGTGAAGATATTGCTGTTTGATATTGTCAAAATGAAGGATATTCTTTCCTGTGTGCAGTTTTGAGCTACTGATTTTATGGGGGTAAAGCTCAGTGTTAGATAATTTAACTACAGATCGAGAGGTCCCCAGTTCAAATCTGGGTGCTCCCTTTGGACTTGGCAGCTTTAGAGTAACCAAAGCTTTTATTTCGAAGTAAAGATGTTGCTGTTTGATATTGTCAAAATGAAGGATCTAATTTCCTGTGTGAGGTTTTGAGCTGCTGTTTCTGTGAGGGTATAGCTCAGTGGTAGAGCATTTGACTGCAGATCAAGAGGTCACCATTTCAAATCTGGGTGCTCACTTTGGACTTTGCAGCTTTAGGTTAACTAAAGCCTTTATTTTAAAGTGAAGATGTTTTGTTGTTCAATATTGTCAAAATGAAGGATCTAATTTCCTTTGTGCGGTTTTGAGCTGCTGATTCTGTGGGTGTATAGCTCAGTGGGAGAGCATTTGCCTGCATATCAAGAGGTCCCCAGTTAAAATCTGGGTGCCCTTTTTAGACTTGGCAGCTTTGGAGTCTTTATTTTGCCTTTTAATCTAAACTTTGTTCTATTGCTTTAAACAATTGAAGATGACTTTTTGCGGGCACAGTGGGCTTAGGCCAGCTCACACCAAACCTAAACAGGCCCAGTGCGGGCTTGCCCAGGTGAGGCCCACAGCTTTGGGCTCACCGCAGGCTCTCTGTGAGCAGGCCACACTAGCCAACTGTCCACATTAATCCTATGATGTCCCAGTGTGAGCCAGCCCGTTCGGGCCCAGAGCAACTTTTGTATCCTTTGGGCCCATGCAGGTTTTGTGTAGTCAGCCCTGTAATGCAACTAGGAGAATACAAACAACATTGACTGGCCATTCTTTAGCCACTCAATTGAAGTGGAAAGGCTCAAACCAAAAGAGACATTTTCAGAATCTGTTGTTTCATATATGCCAGGGATCCTCAAATCTGGCTCACGAGATCTACTTTCCTGCAGAGTTTAGTTCTTCTAACCTTAATCAAACACCTGAGCATGCTAATCAATGTCTTCAGGATCATTAGAAAATCACAGTTGGGTGAGTTTGATCAAAGTTGGAGCTAAATTTTGCAAGGAAAGTGGATCTCACGAGCCATATTTGAGGTGTAACAGACACGGGCCTTTTAATAAGAATTTTGTGGGCAGTTTTCTTCCTTACCACTAGGGGTGCTAGGGTGTTTTAGGTTTCCTTAAGTAAAGCCATGTGGGTAGAGGGAGTTAGCTATAACAAGCAGCAGTAGCCAGCATAGCTCACCTAGCGAGCTCTCGTTAGCACAACGATACCTCCGCGTGGGTTCATGATCGACTTCGTCGTGTTTGGAGTCTATGGCGGTTGACATAAACTGGTTTGTGACTGGATTAAGATGATTTCTGGTGTAATCGATGAAGATGAAATGGAGTCAAATGACTGGAATTTAATAAGTAGTAGGAAAGGACAAGAAAAAAGAAAGAGTGGGCGAAAAGAAGGGAGTAGGGTAGATAGCCAAACCAGTAAAAGGGGATTAGAAGGAAACAGCTCAGATGAAGATAATAGGGTTGTACGTAAAAAGATAGTAAGAGAGGAATGTAAAGTAATTCTTAAATTAAGAAAGGAAGATGAACAGGTTAATCTAAGTCCAAAAGCATTGTCTAGAGAGTTGAAGAAAAAGTTAGGAGAAGTGGATATGGCTAAAGCTGAACATTTTTTGGGTATACACAACATATATTGGGAAAATATCAATAAAAGGCTGGAAGTTGATGTTAAGTTGGGAGATGCAGGTGATAAGACAACTTGAATATTGTACAATGGAATGCAAGAAGCTTGTTAGCAAATGGTCAAGAGTTTAAAGGTTTTATAAAAGGGTTTAATATTTCTGGAGGTGAAGTGAGTACAATAAAAAGGTTGAAAAAAAACAATGAATGGGGAACGGGTTGATAGTTTATCAATTATTTTGGAGTTTCAGGATTCAGTGCTTCCAGAAAGAGTCAAAATTGGATATATGAGCTATGCAGTGAGGCCCAGGTTATCAAAGTATATGCAGGGATAGAGAGGAAGACATTGGGGGAGGGTGTAAGGAAATTAACTCATTTTATTTTTATTTGTAATGAAATTAATTATTATTATTTTAGCTCCGGTTTTGAGAGGAATCGATTCTTAAATATTCGATGTTGATTTCTTCAAGTTGATCTGATTCAACTACTTAGAGCAGGGGTGCCCAAACTCGGTCCTGGAGGGCCGGTGTCCTGCAGAGTTTAGCTCCAACTTGCCTC